TCCTGTCTTGCGTAACTGCGCGATTCAGGTCTGCAAGGGTTAATAAAGATGAATTTCCACAGTTTTTTTTACAGAGGCCCCTATTTTTTTCCCCACAGAATACAAATGTGGCTACACTTTCTTGACGTAGTTGAAGATTTGTGGTCTACACATATCGGATACCTTATGTTTAAGTGGAAACTGAAAAATGTTTTGTTTTATTTGTTCATCTTTGAATCTGTTTTGTAAAGCCTTGTCCTTTCTTCCGATAATATCTTCAGGAATGAACTATTCCTGGATTAAATAAATGATTTGAAAGAATTGTGGATGGTATGGCGCACTGGGACAACCACTAAATATTGCTTTCCGTCTTAGCCAAGGATCCGGAACGGCTCCAACAGCATGTGTAACAAGAAGCTCTGAGAAGAATGAATGACTTCGCTTTCCTTCATATGTCAGCTAGGACTGTAGTACAGAAATTATGCAATTTAATGATCCATTTATGTGAGCAGTGCAACTGGCACAGATTTCAGCCCTTTGGGTTTGTCATATATACTTGAAAGTTTTACACGGTCGCCATAGCTGTAATGTTAACATGCAACAGATGTTTCTGCAAACATTATAGGTTTGTTTATGCTGTCTTTTCCTGCAACGTTTCCCGCTCGTATCTGCAGTGGTTCGTTGTTGAGCACTATGAAACAAATCTAAATACAGAATTTACATGTCTCTATGCTGTTTTTGCATTACACTTAGAATTTCCTTAGAAGCTGAACATTTATCGATCTCTTACTCGTATTATTAAGTTTTAGTGTCCTGTATTAGTGACACTAGTGTCCCTTTCACTAAAATAGTTCGCATGACCGCCATGTTGGTGTTATTCAGACTAGGAAATTGTAAAGTGAAAAGCTGGTGTGATATCTGTACCAAATCGAATGAAAACCCATCATGGGGCTCAGAATTTGTAGGAAAGACGAAAGCATGGGTTTGATGATACCGTAAGCCCATGTTTCTTTATAGAATAAATAGAATAAGCGAAAAGATGATACCTGATCATAATGCCTATTCTCTCTGTTTAGAGCGTCTGATTTGTTATGGTGGGAGATTTTCATAACTCTGGCTGCTATATACCGTCTGCGTACCGGGCAGAAGTGTTTAGTTAGCCACTTTCACTGATGCAGTGGTCTAAAGGCTCCCAGACTCATCACACAGTAACGTATTGTCATAAGTCACCTGGCTCTCTAAAGTAAGAATCATTATGCTGGCGAGGGCCAGCAGCAATTTACTGGACTGGACTGGAAGCAACAGTTACAACAAAGGTAGCGCTTACACAGAAAGAGGAGGCCCCAGTTGTAAACACATACAAGTCTAGGAGAACAAAAATCTTGGTCATAGATCTCGACAAGACATGAAGCCAAGAATGACTGTGCTGGCGAGAACCAGCAGCAGTTTCACCTACCAACCATCTCCCACCACATACTTCGGGTTCCACCCTAAGACAGTCCATGAACAAAGTAGACGGTCACTGTCGCTTTCTGTAAACTCCTGCCCTGCTTCCGCTGATGATGTCACATTGTGTAATTGCCCACGGAACAGGGCTAAACGGGCGTCATAGGTTCGAAATACCGTGGCATTCTGGCATAAACGCAGATGACAGTAGTTAACCAGGCAGGAAGCAGTTGAATGCATATTTTGGTACACCCTGTAATGAACTGTTCCGGATCCTTCATCTGAGTTGCTTCGATATGGATGGGGTATGTAAATGCATACCTTCTGGCGTAAGAAACTTTATACTTGTCCGTCCTGCAGATAAGATACGTCTTGTATTTCTGTTTTTTTTACTCTCCTTGAGATAACGTTTATGTGTATAAGAAATATGGGGCGCAGTAGGGAAACAAAATATGTCTTGATTTTCTATAAATTCATGTCACTGATCGAGATTGTCCCCTCGGAAGTAGATGCACTGCTTTATTTGCGCCTGGAATGTTGTCCAGTTAGTCCGACATTGCTGTGTTATTGGCATTTTTAAACGAGATATCATCTTGTTTCAAGAATATCCTTACTGAAGCTGATGGATATGCAACAGTCAGTATTGCAGTTCCGTGCTGTCATTACACACGTTTTAACACATAACACTAAAGCAATACACTGCGATCTCCGCTTTCTATCTGGCCATTTACGAGCTTGCTGTCTGCTAAGTGTGAAAACGTGTCTTCAGAAGTGTTCGTCGCATTGTTTATGCGAATTCATACGATGTTTTTTTCTATAAGCCTCATACCTGTCGCTATGCTACATCTCAGTGATATGCCTAAGAGTGTTCACTCTTGTTGTTCAGCTATAAGCATCAGTTCAAAATAAGCCATACGGTAGCCATGTTTTAAATTCCAATTTTCGACAGAAATTACTTTTTAAAACGTGCGTATTTTTAAGAAATTATTTATAAAATACAAATATTCATACGGGAGACGGGAAAGCTCAGTCGGTGTATCGCTTGGGTTACGGTCTAGACCGGGATTCGATTCCCGACAGGGGAAAGAGATTGTTCTTTCCTGCATACCATTCTGTTCAGGCGGGTAAAGCGGAAGGAGCGTCAGGCTGACCGTACACCTCCATCTAGTTCTGAGGTCAAGAATGTTGTGCTTAATTAAATAAACTTTACCAGAATAGATATCAATATTTCGATCGCCATTGCTATTAGCGTCCTGTGCTGTTTTCATACGTACTTTTCCATTGGCCTGGTGCCTTGTACGGTTCGAGAGAATCTTTACTCCGTAAGGTTTATTATTACCGGTTGATGCGTTTGTATTATCCATCTAACTATGCCTGTATATCTCTTATGGACTTTGACCGTTTCTTTCAATTACTTAATCTATACACAATCGGTAGGACTCCTTGAACGGGGGATCAGTCCGTCGTAAGGCCGCTACCTACACACAGGACAACACAAACACAGAATTATTACACAGAGACATCCATGGCTTCTGTGGGATTCGAACCCACGATCGTAACTTCCGAGGGAGCGAAGACGGCGCGGCTGCTGTGATTGGCACGTTTGTGCGATTTTGCTGTATACATTTTAATGTTAAAGTTACGAAGATTTATTCTTGGCAGACGGAGGGCAGAAAGGGAGCGGACAGGGTTGTTTGTTTCTATCGTCTTCCAGAAAACAGCCAAACAAATTGTTGAATTTCCTGTACTAGATATAGGGTGCGAGGTACGTGCATATTGGTATTCATACAGTTTGGTGATGTACTGCTATGCACTGCAGCTGCTCGGACCTTGCATTCAGCTCACTGATACTGACAGTTAATGAAACATTATGTAAGATTTGAGGCTTTCACGGCGGTGACTATGAAGAAAGCAGTCTTCTGGGATTTGGCACCGTGTATATGTGGTGTTAACCGACGTTTCGGATGAACGTATCGCCTCCATCTTCAGGATAGAAGAAAAAATATATAAGAAATCTGCAAGCGAAGAGACCGTGAGAACCGGTAAAAGCAGAATACAGAAGATGGAGGCGATACGTTCCTCCGAAACGTCGGTTAACACCACATATACACGGTGCCAAATCCCAGAAAACTGCTTTCTTCATAATGAAACATTGCTGCTAACCATTTGAAATTTTGTATATATATATAGGTCATTTAAAAGGGTAGCCACGATAGCGCAGTCTGTATAGCGATTGGCTACGGGCTGGACGACGAGGGGTCGGAGTTCGAGTCGCGATAGAGTCAAGAATTTTCTCTTTCCCACGTCAATCCCGATTCTGGGACCCACCCAGCCTCTTTTCCAATGGGCACCGGCGGCTCTATCCCCTGGTATAAATCGGCCAGGGCGTGAGGCTGACCATGCACCTCCAACTAGTGCCAAGATCAAGACAACATAGCTCTAACCACTCCCCCATACGTCTTCATCGCGTAGTGCTTAATTAGTTAAGCATAGGGACAACGTTTCCCCCTTGGCACTACAGCCCCAGTGGACCTAGGCCTACCTCCATGAACTTCTCCGTTTACTTCCGTTTTTGTAGATCTTACACATACGGTAGGACTCCTTGGGCGGGTCATCAGCTCGTCGCGAGGCCTCTACCTGTACACAAACACAGAAAAACGCACACACACACACACACACAAACTAAACTTCTATGCCCTGAGTGGGATTCCAACCAACGATCCCGGTTTCCAAGCGAGCGAAGACAGTACATGCCTTAGACCGCTCGGCTACCGTGACCAGCGTTTTTACCCTTTAGGTCTTTTAAAATTGGAACGTATTCGTAAGAAGGAGCAGTGTAAATGAAGGCTGGAGTGACTGGAGCATGTGATTCGAAGTAATGAAACAAAGGTGGCTCAGCGAATTAGTGTAAATAAGCAGGGGGGTGTAAGAAGAGTGGGGCGTCCCAGTTTCGTATGACTGGAAGCCGTGGGCAGTGAATGCGAGAGGTGGAAGGCATAGGCATGTTTGTCGGAAAGGAGAGGAGGGATTCTATAGGACTATGTAGCCAGGAAGTAAGTAAAGCATGCAAAGAAATGAATCATTAATTGAATCATTATTAATTCGTAGCCTCACTGCATAGCTTAAATTACTTGAAAGACTGTAATTCTAGAATTCTCGGAAATTTTGCTACTTTATTTTCTTATACAGGAATTTTATGATTGTCTGCATGGCTGTGATTATATTTTGTATGCTTTATATATAATTTAATCGCCGGTACATAGTCCATGATATTCATTATTCATAAATCTGGACTATTACAGATACTACGTGGCTTCGAACAAGGTATTTTCAGTATGACGGGGTGGGGGCAGGCGAGCCTGCCGTTAACACTAAAATCAGTGCGTAAACAAGGGGTCTCAGATATAATGGGCCATAGATTCCAGCTGTCAGCTCTCCTTGAACCTGTTTCCTAATTTGCATGTTTTTTTGTCTTGTGTTCCATGATCTTCCTACCTGACTGATGATTTTCTGTACGTGGATCACCATTATTCGACTTGTGATCTGCCATATGACGCCTCGGTATCTTCCTGCAGGACCCTACTTCGGTAAGTCGTACTTAAGTATAACAATAAACTTTTATGTATATATAAAATGACCGGCGCGCGCAGTAGCGTAGTTGGTTGAGGCACTATGCTACAAACCGGAAGGTCGCAGATTCGAGTCCGGATGAGGTGGATTTTTTCAATTTACTTAATCTTTCCAGGCGCACTGTGTCCCTGGGGTCGACTCGGCCTCTAACAGAAATGAGTAACAGGAATATTCCTGGGGAGTCAAGCGCGGCCGGCGCGTAAGGCTGACGACTTCACCGCCATCTGTGAGCCGAATGTCTAGATAAAATATGGGAGCCTCGACGTCTCACAACCCTATGGGCCTTCACGGCCTGTTACAGGGGTAGCTTTACCATTAACCTCTGAGCCCCCAGTGGCAACCGTATGTACCACGTGCTTTAGCGTAAAAGTTCTTACTTTAGCCACCTTGTGTACTGGTATGTATGGGTCTCATAGGATTCTGATATAAGGAATGACCCTAAACCTTTGGAGCACGGGCGTAACTATGTGCCACGTCTGCGGTTTCCTCTCAGTATATTTTCGGGTTTCTTATGGTTCACTGGATCAACTGCAGTTATTTCTCTAAATAGTGATTAATTAGACCGCCTCTGTGGTCTAGTGGTCAGAGTTCCTGCCTACAGAACCAGAGGTCTGGGTTCGATTCTCGGCGCTACTAGATTTTCTGGTCAGCCTCGTGAGGATAATTGAGGAACTATTTCAAGGAAATAGCGGCTCCGGTCTAGAAATCCGAAATTAACGGCCGTGAGGATCCGTTGAGCTGACCACGCGACGCCCTCTATCCGTAAAAGTTGGCACTAACTTCGCCGATAAGCGGCGGTCGCTCGATCGGTCAGTATAGTTCGCTTGCGGACTACAGGCCACAGAGTGATTGATTAACCGATTATAATGGAATGAAATGTGTTCTCTGAGAGGTGCAAACTGGTTTTTTTAATATTATTTACTTCAATATTATGCTTCAGTGGATTAAACTATAAGTTTTCATAAGGTATTTCAAATAGTTTTTGTCTGAATACGAAAATCTGTCGCCTCATTTGGTATTTATTTATTGTTTAATTAATTACTGGCGCCACCTTTATCTGAGACTTTCGTGTCGAGTCGCCGTATAAATTCAGCATAAGATAAGCTGAAGTATTGCTCATCTGAAACATCGTGCAGTGTAAGTAAGGGGTATGGGGGCAGTGAAAGGTAGCCTCCATATGTGTAGTGTATTGGTCTTTAGGTTCCCACTACGGTGGTATGAAAGCCCTCTGTTAGAATGGCCGGTGTCGACCGAGATTTGAACCGAGGATCTCCAAAATTCAGTTCTAGGCTGTCACTGTTCCTCCATCGCGCTGGTTTTCTAAGAGTGTCATGTGAAGCACGTGTCAGAGTAATGTGTCAAGCATGGAACACCGCGCGGTCGGCTGGTAATTAATATTTTATCCTGGCTCTTAGCTAATGATAATTATAATCTTAGCTATGTAATTTAAATGACTCACGCCTAGTGAATGTCTCTTTTCACTATCGTTACAAGGACTGCATTAGATCTGCAATTAATGTTTCAATAAGCGGATACCAGTTGGAATATTGATGCAGGCCTATTAATTTAAAGTAGACTGCAGGGAGACAGAATTCACCTGTTTGATCTTATCCCAAGAACAGTTGTGCACTTGCAAATTGTCTTGCTTCTCTGACTTTCGGATCGAACAAGTTCCCAGCTACCTCAGAGAGAGAGAGAGCTAAAGAGAAAGACTGATCTTATCTCTTGTCCCGTCCCAACATTGGAATAATTGCCTGCGTTTCAGATCTGCCTTATTTGAATGATTCCTGACCTGTGAACTAGAATAACATTATTTAAAAATCGCAAACGAAGTTCTAACCTTCATTACTGTCAGTAGACTTTTAATCGTGTTCGCTTACGCCTATCACATTAAATACAAAGTAGATTTGATGTTCGTCCCAAGATGTGGTGCATATGCAGCTTAAGCAAAAGATGAAATACAGTTGTGTTATAAGCTTTGAAAGGATTTTGTTTTTATTGCTAGTGGGGTGGGACTAAGTCCCATGTACTGTGGCCACTTCTGGCCTATTGTACCAGCCCCAGATGATCGGTGGGGGTGATTATGGAGCAGTTAGTGGAATGAAGATTGGCGGGGGAACCGAAGTACTCGGAGAAAACCTGCCCCAGCGCCACTTTGTCCACCACAAATCCCACTTGACCAGACTCGGGATCGAACCCGGGCCGCCGCGGTGGGAAGCCAGTGACCTACCGCTTGGGCTATGGCGCGGCGAAAGCTTTGACAGGATAGTCGCACTGTAGTTACAAAGGCCTGTATCTTAATTTCTGTCCCCCTTTGTAGTCGAATGGCCAGAGTTCCTGGCTACAGATCCAGAGTTTCCAGGTTCTATTCCCGAGTGCTGCCAGATTTTCTAAGAAGTCGTTGCCTAGCAGTGAGTCTGTACATCACAATACAAATTTTTGAGCTTCTCACTAATTTTCTCCGATTCATTGTTACTTAAACTGTCTGCTCCAGTACTTTGTTCTCAAACACTCTCACCATTTTTTTTTGTGTGTTTGTCTTTATGTCGTCATAGCCGATTGTGAGTTAATTTGTATGCAGTGGAAGAGCTCAGCAAAACCAACCGAAGACGTTAGTTGCGTCTTCCTAATATTTATAGTTTATATTAAATCGCCAGTTGAAAACAAATAGTATTAGCGTACTGTGTTTCGGTGCCTCTGTAATGGAGTGGGAACCGAGAGATAATGGGACATAAATAACAAGATAAAGATCTCGTATCTTGTCTTGTCCGTATTCTATTCTACTTGCAGTTTAATTTCCTGGATAAAATTAACTATTTTTAACGCAATTAATCCGTGATATATCATGCAATAATGTAATAAATATTAATTCCAGAGGAGGTCTGACGCCAGAATATATGACGGAGTAGAAACAGGTTCCGGCTCGGACAGGTCAACGTCGGAGCGCCAAGTGTCGATACTGTATCTACAATTAGTTACAGACAAGGGCCACTCCTTTGAATTAGTCAGACCAGAGTGTATGCTCGTATCTTCAAGTGGAAACACTGGATTCGATGCAAACGTTTCTGTCGGTAGTTCGGCATACCAGTCTCATTCGTATTACTGCTTTCTTTTTCAAGCAATTAAGGCTCAATTATTGTAATTGTCATTAATGTACCTTTCAGACTAATTACATGGAACTGCGACCTTCTGGAGCAGCGAATAGTCGCTTAGATACTGAAATTCCCCACCTTTTATGGAATACGAAGGTTCATTACCATGACCAAGGCCTTGCTTTCCATTTCGTAACTTGATTTTTAAGGTGAGAAGTTGAGCTTCCTGTCCAGCCCCCAAACTGGAGGACTGCGCCTTATGGGCTCTCCTCGGCTGCAATATGTACGCAGCTGTCCTATATTATATGGTGGCCGTCTGTACCATCCACTGCCTAAGCACTCACCCTGCTGTGATGGCTAGGATCCTTTTTGATACCGATTAGACTGGCGTAGGTAAACACGCCTCAACAATAGAGAAGCTGTTTTCTATTTGGCTCGCACCGGGACCGTTGCTATGCAATGGTGCGATAGGCACGCCTAAATCAATACTGGACAATAGAAAGCGGTTTTTTCCACGAGGTCCGTGCAAAGTGGATATAAAGAATTCATTTCAGTTGTCGGGAGAAGGGAGAGTCGAGTTTTGACACTCCAGCCTGCCAGGTTATGAGCTTGGGAACAGAGGAATTGAATTGAGTCGAGTCTTCGGAATTGGCAGTTGCAGAATATTGGCAAGAAAGGAATTAGACTGAGAAAAGAAAACTTCATATGTTGCCAGGATACGACTAGTCAAGCCTGAAAATCCTAATGCGTGTATAACGGTGAGCTGCATTGTGTGTAAATCATCAATTGCGCTGTATTGCCTATAGTCCCGAGTTGTGCGTGTGTGTGTGTGTGTGTGTGTGTGTAAGGTGTCAATAAATCCAATCAACCCATCCAAAACCCATTCTTATAAGTCATCCCTGCTTACTTACTCATGGAGCTGAGCCCTTCTGGAGGAGCCGCCAATTGTGCAGCTACTCAAGAATTTCCCACCATTTTATGGAACCCTAAGATTCATTACCGTGTTCACCAGAGCCCTCCACTGATCCCTATCCTGAGCCAGATCAATCCAATCCATACCATCCCATCCTATCTAAGATCCATTTTAGTATTGTCCACCCACGTACACCTTGATCTTCCCAGTAGTGTCTTTCCTTCTGGCTTTCCCACCAATATCCTGTACGCTTTCCTAAGTCATCCCTACACGTGACAATATGTTAGCTCTAACTTATGCATCTAATGGCGTCTATATTCTACTTTATATTCAAGTGTGTCTTTTAAAAAGGGCCGTCCTTTAAGTCGAATGAAGTTCGATTTGAGCTTCATGTAAAGTAGGCCGTAGTGGTCATGTTAGTCCAGTAAATAACCCGATGAAGCTTGAGAAGGGAACTTAAACCCTTCTTACATTCTTCTTGCCGTGCTTTGATTGGTGCAGTTGAAATGACGTGAAATATAACATGGTCATAAAGAAAAAGAAGTAGGCCTGCATGCGATTTGTTTGTGATAAACCTCATGGAAGAGACAGCTGGGGAATGAAGTAGCCACCCACATTCATGTGTACTATTCACATACCAGGAGACACATTTTATCGCTTTCTCCCGAATGGATCGTTTGAGAGATTTGGACTTTAACTCCGTAGTTTAAGTCCGTATGCGAACTATACTGACCGAGCGACCGCCGCTTGTCGGCGAAGTTAATGCCAACTTTAGCGGATAGAGGGTGTCGCGTTGTCAGCACAACGAATCCCCACGGCCGTTAATTTCGGTCCTGCTTCGGATAAACCACGATACATTCGTCCTCTCTCTCCGTTCCTTCCATGCACTCACACCTGGAGTTTACTAGTAGATTCATAAAGCGGTCTGTTTGGTATCTCGAAGCCTTATCACCGTTCCATGCCATGTCGGCAGATAACAGAAAATGTATATGGTGTTAAGGACGTCAAGTTTTAGTATTTCTGTAGTAGAACGTAGATGACTCGTCAGTATGCCGACTAGACCACTGGCTAAACGACCCAGGATTCGGTGCTCGATTCCCCCCAGGAGAATTTACAGACCTGCTCTTCGTTCACTGAGTCTCGTATCAGCGGGAACTGGCACTCTTTTCCGGTTATAAAGTAGCCGTAGCGTGAAGGTAACCACTGAACTCGATCTGCTGCTGAAGTTAACAGTACGAGCATGTGGAGCTGTCGACCTCTTGCATCTTCACAGCATAGCGGTTAATTAATCGCCGACACAAAACAAACAAACCAATTCTGTGGCTTTAGTCCGCGAGCGAACTATACCGCTCGAGCGACCGCCGCTTGTCGGCGAAGTTAGTGCCAACTTTAGCGAATAGAGGGTGTTGCGTGGTCATCGCAACGGATTCCCACAGCCGTTAACGTCGGTTTTCTAGACCCGAACCATTTCCTTGAAATAGCTCCTCAATTAACCTCACGAGGCTGAGTGGACCCCGTTCCAGACCCACTACTTCTAAAAAATCTAATAACGGCGATCTCTGGATCTGTAGCAGGAACTCTGACCACTAGACCACAGAGGCGGTCAAGCGCCGACACAGCTTGTAATATTTTGAAAAATACGTGGTTGAGGAGCGGGTAGGCTTTTTTAGCAAACTGTTTAAACATTCATTGCTTTCTAATGACTCCTGGGACTGTTCATTCAGAATTAGTCTTCGTTGTGTGTAAATTCCGTTGTGCCATACAAAATGGTTGAGGGGGGCTACAGAAACATGGCAGGCGGTGTTTAAATAAGTAGTACAAGATAGAAACGATATGAAGTGGGCGTATCCACGATGGAACCAAGTTTTTATATTATTTATTTCTGTTTAAGTCGTAAAGAACTGGGGTGTATGCAGCATCGCGTGACTGGGCCTCCCCACAGTGGTGCCCATTCTTCTGCCCCCCCCTCCCATACACACAGCGTCCTGTATGAATTTTCAAAATAACCTGTTGCAGGGCAGATTACAGGCACTGTTTGTACAGTTCTGTATATACGCTCTAACAGTTTGTGACAGTGTAATATTAATACGGTTATTGTGTTTCTGGGCTTTATCCATCGTTCAATCCGGAGATAGGGACTAGCTCTATCGATTGCGTAGGTTCCACCTGAAGACGGAAGCAGACTTGTCTCAGAAACATTATATATTTTAAATAAAAACAATACGTTGGATAATGCTCAGAAACACAATAATTTTATAGTGCTGTATTTTTGTGATTTCTGCGTATTTAAGAGCTTCGTGTTAAATACAGGCGCTGCCATTCATACATATCCAGTGGAACCTGTCTAAAACGGAACCTTTGTTAGAGGTAATTCACCTCTTGTAAGAAAATTTCCTTATTCCTTGAATTGCATGTATCGAATGGATACCGTTCAACTGGAACCTGAAAATGAAAATGATATTGTAAACACAAAAACAATACAAAGTCTGTGGTCTGTAGTCCGCAAGCGAACTATACCGACTGAGTGACTGCCGCTTGTCGACGAAGTTAGTGCAAACTTTTGCGGATAGAGGGTGTCACGTGGTCAGCGCAACGGATCTCCACGGCCGTTAATCTGGGTTTTATAGACCGGAGCCACTATTTACTTGAAATAACTCCTCAGTTATCCTCACTAGGGTGAGTGAACGCCGTTCCAGATGCACTACCTCTCAGAAAATCTGGTAGTGTCGGGAATCGAACCCGGGACCTCTGGATCTGTAGCCAGGAACTCTGACCACTAGACCACAGAGGAGGTCAAACGATATTGTAACAGGAGATAATTGTCATTATTGTTTGTTGTTTTTGTTAATGCACTCGTATGCCTTGCTTCCTGGAATTTACGAGGATCGTACTGAAAGTCATGAGCAACAATTTTTTGTAAAGTAACATGCTTTAATATTGACAAACCAAATACACCAACTCAGTCTACAGACCTGTCTTTATTTTTCCACATAATCGCCACTTCTTTGTACACATTTCTCCCAGCGTTCTGGGAGTTTGAAAATTCCCCTTCTGTAAAATTCCGTTCCAGCCATCCGAAGACACTGACGCACTGCTTTCTGAATTGCCTCCCTTGTCTCAAAACGTTGTCCACGCAGCTGATCCTGATGGTAGTCGGAGGGTGCCAGAACAGGGCTATAGGAGGGGTGTGGAAGAACTTCCCACCCCATCTTTGCAATTGCATCCAATGTGAGGCGAGCGGCGTGGGGGCGAGCGTTGTCATGCAGGATGATGATGTTTCGTCCCCGACGTTTATCGCGCAATGCACGACGGAGCTTGTGCATCGTCTGGACATAACGATCAGCATCGATCGTTTGCCCAGGTTCCAGGAATTCGCCCAGAATAAACCCCTCTGCATCCCAGAAGACTGTGCCCATCACCTTCGCAGCTGATGGCACTGTCTTTGCCTTCTTTTCTGATGGAGAATGCAAATGGTGCCATTCCATAATCTGCCGTTTCGTTTCAGGCTCGAAATGGTGACATCAGCTTTCGTTACTTGTCACAATAGAGAGCAAAAAATCGTCGCCTTCGTGTCGATATCTCTGCAGCAGTTCTGAGGTGATGGCTTTTCGCTGACCTTCGTGGTCTTCGGTCAGTAACCGCGGGACTCAACGAGCACAAACTTACTTATAGCCCAAGCTTTCAATCATCTCCTGTACTGCACTGTGCCCTATTCCAAGTTTTCGGGCTATTGTGTCCACAGTCACACGCCTGTCATCTTGAATGATCTCATCCACTCTTTCCTTGTTTCGTTCATTTGAGGCTGTTCGAGGACGACCGCTCCGAGGCTCATCTTCGATGCTGGTCTTGTCATCTTTAAAATGTTTCACCCATCTTCGAACACTGCTCGCACCCATGCACACACTTCCATAAGCACGCTGAAGTCTCTTGTGAATTTCTGCAACAGGGATTTCCTCTTTAACAAGAAATTTGAATACAGCACCCTGGCAAAACGACATATCGTTGTCGGCCATTCTGTTAGGAGTGATACTGGTCACGTGATGCAAGCTATTGACGTCACAAGACACTCAAGGTTAACACAACAGCTGCTTCCACCTACCACCATACTCTCTTTCGTCTGCTGTTCCCAGGTTGCATGCAAAAAAGTTGCTCATGACTTTCGGTATGACCTACGTATATGAGAAATAACATCCATGTCTCAAATAGAATGATGTAATTAATTGACCGGCGAATTGCTTTGTTATTGTAGTTAGCCTGTCATTTAACGATAAGTGCAATGGAATTTTAATAGTTTTTAGGTTTCTTTTTCTTTCTCCGCTCTTCATTTCTGATGTGCATCTCAATTACTTCAGATGTTACAGTTTTTGGCTCTCATTCTCTTGAGTCCGGACGCCTATGCTCCGAACGAGCTTAAAGGTTACAATAAGTATGTAACTTAATTCTTTTTTCTATTACATTTATCTACTCGCAATTTTACCCTTGTCGATTATTGTACCAGTTCACAAGAAGGGTGATAAAACTGACTGTAGTAATTATCGGGGGATATCACTACTATCAACTTCATATAAAATTTTGTCCAATATTCTTCTTTCAAGGTTAAGTCCATATATAGATGAAATTATTGGGGATCATCAGTGCGGGTTTCGACGTAACAGATCAACTACAGATCAGATCTTTTGCATTCGTCAGATATTGGAGAAAAAATGGGAGTACGATGAGACAGTACATCAGCTATTCACAGACTTCAAGAAAGCCTATGATTCAGTTAGGAGGGAAGTATTGTACACTATTCTGATAGAGTTTGGGATACCCATGAAACTAGTTAGGTCGATTAAAATGTGTTTAAACGAAACGTATAGTAAAGTCTGTGTAGGTAAACATTTGTCTGATAAATTTCCTATCCAGAATGGTCTAAAACAAGGAGATCCTTTATCGCCATTCCTTTTCAACTTTGCCTTAGAATAGGAATTAGGAAGGTCCAGGGAAACCAGGTGTGACTGAAATCGAACGGGACACATCAGCTATTGGTCTATGCTGATGATGTGAATCTACTGGGTGATAATGTAGATACCATAAAGGAAAACACAAACTTTAACTTATGTAAGTAAAGAGGTTGGTCTAGAAGTAAACACAGATAAAACTAAGTATATGTTGCTGTCTCGTCACCAAAATGCAGGGAAAAATCATGACATAAAGATAGGAAACAGATGCTTTGAAAATGTGGCACAGTTTAGATATTTGGCAAAACCTGATTCATGAGGAAATGGAGAGGATACTGAATTCTGGTAATGCTTATGGAACCCGAAGTTTCATTACCGTGTTCACAAGAGCCTTCTTCCGGTCCTTATACTAAGCCAGATTAATTCAATCCATGCCACCCCCATCCTAACTCTTTTAAGTTCCATGTTAATACTCGTATTATCACATCACCTACGCATTGGTCTTTATTAGTGGTCTCTTTACCTCTGGTTTTCCCACCAAAATCCCCATGCAAGCTACATGCCCTGTCGATCTGATATGAAGAATCTGTACAAGACTGTAGTATGAGAACCTCAACGGAAGAGACCACGTTTGAGGTAAAGTAAACACATAAGTGTAAATGCGAGTTAATGTGACCGCCTCTGTGGTCTAGTGGTCAGAGTTCCTGGCTACAGATACCGAGGTCCCGGGTTCGTTTCCCGGCGCTACCACATTTTCTGAGAAGTAGTGGGTCTGGAACGGGGTCCACTCAGCCTCGTGAGGATAATTGAGGAGGTACTTGTATGAAAAAGTTGCGTCTGCGGTCTAGAAAACCTAGATTAACGGCCGTGGGGATCCGTTGCGCTGACCACGCGACATCCTCTATCCGCTAAGATTGGCACTAACTTCGCCAACAAACGGCGGTCGCTCGGTTGGTATAGTTCGCTTGCGGACTAGAGGCCACTTATTTTGGTTTTGTTTTGCGAGCATAATGTACCCTAGAGAAATGGAGTGTGCGAATGTAGAGAGGATTTTATTAACTAAGGACATAATCCAATCATTGGTCCTTATGGATAGGAAAAGGAGCTTTCGGGTTCCATGAAATTATGCAATTTCTTGAGCAGCCAAGCGTATTTCAACTTCTGAAGGATTCATCTCCTTGTTATTAAATATTTTGCACGAAGACCGTTACGTATAAAACTTATGGGTTTGCTGAATGTCAAATTTAGATTAAATCTTTTGCATGCTGTGAAGGATAGAAATTTGTAGTGCCCTAACCACTGGAGAATATAGGCGTGTTCTTATGTTGGGCATGACTGTCTTTTAAAAGAGGCGACTTCTGTTCAATTGAACTGTCGTAGTTGGATGATTGGTAGCTTGCAGTTGAATTTCTGACGTCTGTTAGTAATCAATATTATATTGGAGTTGTCAAGTCTTGTAGTGTTCGCTGACAAGGTAATTTATTGACTTGTGGTTAACACATACTTTCCGTAGGGACAACACGAACTCAAGTTGGCATGCTCAGCACAGTGGGTTCTGAATGAACTAGCGTCGGTTCGAGCCTCTGCTAGATGATAATAAATAGACAAATAGCCTGTCTAATATTTAATAAATTATATGTGATACATTGTAATAGGTTATTGAAACTGACAAACTCCGTGAAAGGATCCTTCTTCAGAAGCTAATAGTCACTTACCTGGTCAGTAAATTCCGCGCCCTTATTAAATCCGAATGCCTCTTACCAGTGAGCCACTGGATCCCGTCCTGAGCGAGTTGAATCCAGTCATACTCAGAATCAAGTTCTTTAAGTTCCATTTTAATATTACCCTCGCATCTTCTAACACCTATGTCTTCCAAGAGATATCTTCATCTCAGGTTTTGTTTATTCCTCATCTCCCTCATTCATGCTACATTTCTCGTCCATCTATTCTTCCTATTGAACCTTGCGCGTTACGAAATTCCTGTAATTTTCTTTATTTTCTCGGTAGACTTAAAATGCAGAGTAATTATGGCTAAAGCGATGTCAGCGGAGAAAAGGAATATCAGAAAATACAAGAATTTCATAGACGCAAATACTACAGGTCTCGTAAACTCATTTATATATGTCTGTGATATAAGAGGGCACGCGGTAGCGTAGTTGGTTGAGGCACTATGCCACAAACGGGAAGGCCGCTGGTTCGAGTCCCGATGAGGTCATTGGATTTTTCAGTTGACCGAAATCCTTTCAGCCGCACTATGACCCTCGGGTCGTCTCAGCCTCTAACAGAAATGAGTACCAGGAATCTTCCTGGGTCTAAAGGGCGGCCGGCGCGTAAAGCTGACAATCTCACCGCCATCTGTGAACCGATTGTCTAGAAAATGCGGGAGCCTCGATGTCTCACAACCCTATGGGCTTTCTTGGCCTCTTACAGGAATAGCTTTACCTTTTATACCTATTTGTGATATAATAAATGAAATTAAGAAGTGCATATGAATGTCGAAGAAACATGACGAGTTGTTCGGATGTAAGCGTGAGAAATATGAGAACAAGTGAAGTTGAGAATGCGCAATGGCCTTGCAGAATGCAATATGGCAGCGAAACATGGGTACGATGAAGAAAAGAAATGTCGCGAAAGAGATTTATGGCACCGTTGTTATGAATCGCAATGAAAGATAAAACGAGGAGTGTGGATAGAAGTGGACAGTTAAATACAAACAAAAAGAACAGCAGAAGAGAGCCAGCGATATCGAACGAAATAGTATACGAAGCTAATATTGTGAAAGGTGCGAGGCCAAATTTCGTCTTCCTGTGAAGGCATTCCGCAACTTATGCGTACTCTTGCCCCCCCCTCCCCAATTAATAGAATGTATAAACGATGGTGATGTCGAGAGTCTCTCTCGGTCGGCATGTTACATGTCCGAAACCTATTTCGATGAAATTTGATAGTCCATTAAAACTTTTCGGTCGAATACAAATTTAGGCCCCTTTAACCTTACTTTACAGGGAATTTGAATCCACTGTTACCATTTATATAAAAAAAATACTCGTTAGCCTACTCATTATTTTGAAAAAAATACAAGTAGGCTTATGAGATCACCATTCTGTCTGTGTGTCTGTATATTACTCCTATGGATTTTTGAATGCCTGAACCAATCTCTTTGAAGCATGGTACTGTATGTATCTCGTAGCACCTGAATCCGTCTCAACGGCGTACCTCATAAATCCCTCCCATCAATCTGTCTATCTATATGTGTATCCACCCTATAGTTGCTAGGCAACGGCTCGGTAGAAACATTTCTGCTGCAACGATTACACGCTAGAGATATCGTTTTCTATACGTTTCGTATCGTATCAAAGGAAAGTATGCGATTAGCTCTTACCAGAACTTGTTTTATAACAGACATTTAAATGTTTTGTTTTTATTTTACCAATAAGTCTTTGTTTAATATATTTCCTTAACATTTAAACTCATGCATTTGGTCTGTTGGCTGATGCAGATATAAACATTACTAGACACTATCCTGTGGGTTGCAACTATTGCTTTATAGTGGATATAACCCACTTCTTCTTTGTCGAAAAATATGAATCGTTTCCAGCCTGTCTTGGCGCATGCTCTACGGGAAATGGTAGAATTCTGCCTTCTTAAGTAGATTCTAATGGGTTCTGACGATGGTGTATAATACTCAGAATTACTGAGTGGATTTTATCCAGCGTCCGGTATTCTAGATACTACGAAACAGCGTTTCGGAAACTGGATTTTTCCGTCCTCAGGTGAGAGGGATACACCTACTCTTGTTGATCCCTTAAAAAGAGCTAACGTCAATCACGGGACAACCGATGTCAGATTCATTACAACTATTTAAATATCTGAGACCAGGCTATGTCGAAGGGAGATAACACGAAAATATGCAGTAAAAATGTGATAAGGCACGCATATGCGTGGAACTAGAATAGATAGGGAGGTAACAATTTATGCTACAAACCTAGCCAATATACCAACTCTGTGAACATAAATGGTTAAAATTAAATCGAGAATTTTTGAAAACATATAGTTCCTATCGCTAATGTCATTAGAACATTCATTTTGGTCACTTGTATAATTGGCTTGACGCTAACAATTTTTCTGAGAAGTGGTGGGTCTGGAACGGGGTCCACTCAGCCTCGTAAGGATAATTGAGGAGCTATTTCAAGGAAATAGCGGCTCCGGTCTAGAAAACCGAAATTAACGGCCGAAGGGATTCGTTGCGCTGACCACGCGACACCCTTCTTTCCGCTAAGTTGGCACTAACTTCGCCGACAAGCGTCGGTCTCTCGGTCAGTATAGTTCGCTTGCGGACTAAAACCACAGACTTTTTTTTTGTGTAATTGGCGTCACACATCTTCTCATTGTGAACTAAGCTTTCCGCTTTTGGCACGCGATGAGTAGATCTGTTTTTTCCTATTAGTATCATCCTGACCATAGGATTATAATGACCAGGTGCCTAGAAAAGC